ATCGCGACAAATGACTTCATGAGGTATTTGATGTAGCGAATTTTATTTCACATTCGCACTTACAATCACCCAAATTACAGATTTACGATTACTGCTATCTGCAGTATCACAATTAGTACACTCCAAATGCCACAATACCACTGACTGGTTGCTGGCTAACTCGGAACTAACTCGGAGGTAGCTCGAGGACTCACTCGGCGGTAGCTCCAGGACTGACTGACTGACTGACTGTGAATAGCCTTCGCTGCTCCTTATGTAGCCTTGATCGGACAATTGTCGTCTGGTGCCTTGTTGCTAGCCACGCTGTCCGGAGTTGTTGACTGCTGCCTAGCAACCGCGATATCCCTCGGTGACGTCACCGCGCGTTGCGCGTTGCATAGCTACCAGGATGCGGGGTGATTACTCACCTACTCGCTACGTTACCGCTACGTGCAGCTGGGAAGGTAGGGGTCAACATGTCACAATATGGTAAGAAAATATTACTACATTAGTTCATTTATTGGAGCCTTCTCAACTGCATGGCTATGCCAAAGCTCAGGCGGTTAGTCACTGGCTTCGCACCATTGCAGAATGGGTCTGATCTCAGGTCACGTCATTTGACATTTGTGTTGGACAAAATGGTACTGAGCAGGTTGCCTAAAACTACTTCAGTTTCCCCTGCCAATTACCATTCCATCGACTGCTTCACATTCATTAATCATCATATCACTGATAATATATTGTCTCAATACTGACAGTGTCGACAAATAACAGAAGGAAAGAAAAATTCTCAGTTGCACAGATAATATAGTGTTGAACAAGAGGATGTTTGAGAATTATAAATTGGGAAGATGTGATATGTAGTAATTAAAGATTATTTTATGGTATTTGTGGCATTTTCTATGTTCCTACTGGAATTGAGGACAACCATGAAAAACGTCAGTCATGATAGCCAGGTATCTGGGTTGAGAACCCCTGAATACAGATTACAAACACCATCCACTTGACTGAAGTACTGAAATTGATTTCGAATAAATACTGAATTGAAACAGATCAGGTTATGATTTAGGATAGGCAACTGTGGTGATACTGATGAATTTCCACGCTCCATAATAGGAAACTATCTGAAATGTTCAGGGAAGACTCAGAGGATTAGCTGTATTGTTTCCACTGTAATATTTCCTTTTCATATTGTTTGAAACTTCTGAATCATACTATCACGTGTAGTCGCTAAGTTCTTAGGTATTCTTTTTTATTCTAGTTTTGCTCCAGTAAAATGTATTATTTTAGAAAATATTATATACAGTAAACTCCCAGCTATCCAGTATTGAAGCACCTACAATTCTCATCCAACCAGCAAAAATTCTGTAGAAAAATTTACCCTTTTTAAAAGGTTATTCAAAAATAAATCTGCAATGCATGTTCAAGGGGTTGGCAAAATAAAGAAAACAAAAATACTGAACACATTTGTTTATTAATATAGTATTGGACCACAATTTGCCTCTATACAACCACAATCCTTGGAATGGACTCGTACAAGTTTTGAATAGTCTCTGGCAGAATTTTATACCATTCTTCTTTGTAAAACATATTCAAGTTAAGAAAGCAGTCTTCTGGGATGTGGCACCGTGTAGATGTGGTGTTAACCAACGTTTCGGAGGAACATATCGCCTTCATCTTCAGGGTAGAAGGAAAAGTAAGAAATCCACATGCGAAGAGACTGTGAGAACCAGTACAACCAGACCCTGAAGATGGAGGCGATATGTTCCTCCGAAACATCGGTTAACACCACATCTACATGGTGCCACATCCCAGAAGACTGCTTTCTTCATAGTCACCGCCATGAAAACATCAAATCTTACATATTCAAGTTACTTTAGAGATGTTAGAGGTGGGAATCTATTCCTCACTCTAGTCTCCAAAACTGACTAGAGTGGTTCATGGTCAAACCTGGTGATTGTGCTGGCCAGGGAGATGTCAAATTTTGCCTTCATTTCTTCAAATCATGACTGAACAGTTTCAGCTATGTGAATGGGGTCAATGTCATCTTGGAAAACATCATCGTTTGGAAATAATGTCTGGATCATGGGATGCACCTGATTACCCAGCCTGCCCATGCACTACCTTACAGTAATTCGGCCATGAAGGGTAATAATGGGACAAACAGAATACAGTACCCTGATATTGCTGCCCAGACCAAATGAATGACCACTTGCAATTCTATAAGTATCATATATACAGTGGGACTTGAATATACAAGTACGTTCAGGACAGCGACATAAGTAAACAAGGGCATACCAACTTCCTCAGTAATCAAGAAGTTTAACACTATATTTATTCACATTTGGGCTCCAAATAGCAGGGAAATATCTTGATCAGATGAATAAATATCTCCATCTCAAGAACACCCTACAGAGCAAAATGGTTTACCTGAATAAAGGCAATTCCTATTCCAGCTCCCCCCAGCACTGCAGCATGATCCATCACAAATTCACCAAACATTTTCAAACAGCCTTCACGATGTAAATCCTTTGAATGTGTGTCACACACCTCCACACCAATTGCAGAATGAGATGGCGAGCAACATGACATTGGTAGAGACTCGTTGTGGAAGACATGTTCCCAGTCAGAGTAGTTATTATTCCCGCAGCACTCCAGCTGAAACAAATGTACGGACATTTAGTCAATTTGTCCCCTCCACCCTGGAGTGACCATGTTCATTCATTCATTCATTTCCTTTATTTTCCATATATCCATACAGGCAAAAATCCTAGGATGTGGAAATAGTCCATTTGATTATAGATGTATACATGTAATAGATTACATAAGTCACACAACTAAAATAACACACACCAGTTAACTAACATAGGTAATATAAAAAAAAAAAAAAAAAAAAACAAGAGCTTATTACAATTGTAACTAAACATAATTTAAAAAGTGCATTACTATAAAAACTTAAAATTAATATAATTTTCCCATAAATCAAAATACATTGATACAGGACTCGTCATATACATACATACACATCCTCCACTTTCCATAAACATCCATACAGGGAACAAACCCAGGATGTGGAATTAGTCATCAAAGACATACACAAAGTCACACAAGTCACACCGCGAAGATCACCCACATTAATTATCTAGCACATACAACAATACAAGGCAAAAAAAGTAAACAAACATAAGTCACAAGTAGCCACAATACAACTCTTCACATCACCCTTACCAACTATATTAAAATGTGGCGTTAAGCATTCAAATTTATGTGCCTTTGTAATTAAAATACTCATTTAATGTATAAAAAGAGTTAGCATGTAAAAATCTTTTTAGGGAACGTTCAAAGGATTTCTGGTTATTAGATAATTGTTTCAGCTCTTTAGGCAGATGATTGTAGATTTTTATACCAGAATAATATGGACCCTTTTGAACTTTAGTAAGAGAAGTACTCGGGGGAAATAGGTTAACATTTTGTCTGGTACCAATATTATGAACCTCCGTATTTCTTGTGAACAAATGCATGTTATTTGTAGTGTGTTGCATTAAGGAATATATGTATTGCGAACACAAAGGCAGAATTTTCATTTCCTTGAAAGAGTCTCTACATGAATCTCTTTTCTTTAATCCCATCATAATCCTTATAATTTTCTTTTGGATCATAAAAAGTTTCGTCATGTATGAAGAATTGCCCCAGAAGATAATTCCATATGTCATCACAGAATGTATATAAGCAAAATAAATCATTCTTAAGCTACTTAATGATATCATAGGCTTAACTGATCTCATGAGAAAGCAAGACGAACTCAATTTTGTAACCAGGTAATCAATATGATACTTCCAACACAGCCTATTATCAATATTTAGGCCTAAAAATTTAATACACTCTAAGTTAGTTGGTAAATTTTGATCAATATTATTATGCATATTATGATCCTCATAGTTCATTAAAGTGAAATGGAGAGTGTGGGTTTTATGAATATTTAATTTTAGCAGATTGGTTCTGAACCATGTATTAATATTGTAAAATATTCTGGTCATGGCTGATTTGTAGTCAGCGTATTCCGGATTAGTCACAATTATACTTGTATCATCTGCATATAAGAATATGTTTGTTCCATTAATTGAAACCTTAGTTATGTCATTTATATACAAGAGGAAAATAAGTGGGCCAAGAATTGAACCTTGGGGTACGCCAAATTTTACTTCTGCCCAACTAGACGAGCTATTAATAGAACTGTTAGGGACAAGGGTTACTCTTTGATATCTTCCATTCAGGTAAGATTTAATTAAGGCACCAAATTTGCCAGTTATTCCATAAAACTCTAATTTTTTGATAAGTATATCATGATTGATGCAATCAAAGGCTTTGTGTAAGTCGCAAAATATTCCTCCAACAAACTGTCTATTATTCATTGCTTTTAGTATTTCCTCTATTAATTTGAAAGATGCTTTCTCTGTAGATGAATTAGGTCTAAAACCATATTGATTATTGTCCAATATAAGATTATTGTCTATATGTTCATACAATTTGTTATAGATAACCCTTTCAAGAACCTTAGAAAAGGCTGACAATAATGAAATAGGCCTATAGTTGGCTGGTTCATATTTATTACCACTTTTGAAAATTGGCTTAACGACAGCAAATTTCATTCTGTCTGGAAACGTTCCCTGGGCAAGGGACTGGTTACAAATGTAAGTTAGTGGCGAAGTTATATATGGCATATTTGCTTTTAAAATTCTAGTGGAAATTTCATCATAACCATGTGAATACTTGGTTTTCAAAGATTTGATTATCTTTCTAATCTCAGCAGTTGAGACATACTGCCATTTGATAGATTTAAAGGTAGACGTGTATTTATTGCCCAGATGTTTAGGACTAAATTTTAGGTTTCTGCATTTAACATTTACTAATTTAACATTCGCTTCCTTGCTCACTCAACAACTCACTCATTCACTCTATCCCCCGCTCAACAATTCTCTCCCACATTCGTTTAGTCACACACCCTCCCTCCCCAGTTCTCCCTATGCTTACTTAATCCACTGATACATTCACTCTTTCCATCGCTCATCCACAGACTCTCATCCTTTCACCACTTTCTCTTTCATTTTCCCATTCCTTAATTCATTCACTCCATCACTCATTTATGCATTGCCCTTTGCACATTTATATGCTCTCTTGGAGCTTTCTCTGTTTATTTTCCACTCATTCATTTCTTCACTCTTATTATAGTCGCATGTTCTCTTGCTAATTCACTTACTCTGTACATGTAATCACTCATTCGTTAATTCATTCTTTTGCTCACTCAAGTATTCCTTCAGTTTCTGTTTTACTCATTCCCTCCTTCACTCTTATTGTGTGTCTAAGAGTCAACACCACATTTTAATCAACTTACTGTAGTCTGTAGTACAAACCAAGCCTCATGCGTCTCATTATCTTTACTGTAGTTGTACATGCTTTCATTCAGCTTGCTCTTAAGAAAATCACGTGCACTGTTTCTGAGCACATAACCAGCAATTCCCCCAGACAGTTCCAAGATGAAAACCACCAGCAACATAATGGAGAACTGTGGAAAAACCACACACTTATGTTAATACCATGGTTTGAGAAGAAGTACGATAATTAAAATATCTGTAGCTTTCATATTCAATGTGAGAAGGAGAGTGATAATTTATGTGGTACAGAGGATGTTTTGACAAGATTATACAATAACTCGACTAGTCAAGAAAACTGATATTCTTTTGGAAATCCAGACCATATCCTGACTCCACAACTCTATAAGAAGCATTTTCAAATTACCTGTGGTTGCATTCCTGCATGACCTGAATTATAAACCAGGATTCATCACTCTTTCGATACTGGCATGAAGTGTAACCAGTAAGTATGTCGATATTTTATGCAGCAACTAGAAATACTACTGAAATTGTGCATGATGAACCATGTGGCTTATGAGTCAACATAACTGTGTTGAACAGTTACTGAGATTCAGTTTCTTTTGTGGTAGTACTCTTTTTATTGGCACAATGTTTTGGTTGGTCGGTCAGTCAGTCAGTTGGTTGTCGGAAAACATGACAAATGAAATTTGCTGAGATGTTTCTGTATGACTGTTAGAAGAATCAGACCTTATGGAAAAAACAGTGACTCAAAATGAGACTTGATCTTCTAGTAAAACTCAGAAACAAAATTCCAAAATTTCTGATGGAAAAGGCCACTCTCTGAGGCAGAAGTAGTGTTGATGTCAAAATCAAAGGTAAAATCGACGCGGGTCTCCCTTTTCATAACAAAGGAATTATCTGCTACAAATTTGTTCCTCCAAAACCGTCAACCAGGCAATGTCTTTAAATTTTTTAACACTCCATGGCAATGGATTTCTTGAAAACAATCAATTATGGCATAGTAACTTGATTTTTATCATGACAAAACCCCTTAGCACATAGCACTTCTGAGTAATGTGATTTTAGGCCAAGAAACAAATTTTAATGTTTTCCTCCATGACCTAACTTCATACAACTTTTTCATATTCCCAAAATTAATTATCTCTTTGAAGGGGTTTTATCTTTAATCACTTTACCCCAACATGACAAGGGCATTGGAATTTGTCTACAAAGTAAGAAGAGGAATACTTTGAATGAGGTCATACTCACTAAGGTCATTAGTAATTCTCTTTGCGGCACTAGGCTACAAGCTGGAAGGTCACGGGATTGAATCCTGATGAGGTGGATTTCTTTCAATTTACCTAAGCCTTCCAGCCGTGCTATGACCCTGGGGTTCACTCTGTCTCTAATAGAAATGAGTACCAGCAATATTCTTGGACTGTTCTTGGGGGTAAAGGGCAGCCGGTGACAACCTTACCACTATCTATGAGCCAACTGTCTAGAAAACGCAGGAACCTCAACATCTCACAAGCCTATGGGCCTCCACGGCCTGTTACAGGGATACCTTTACTTTTACTTTTTTTTTAACTTTACAGTTTAGTCCAGTTATTTCGTTTTCAGATATTGTATTGTGGCAAATCTCCCTTGAAAGTTAATTTGTGTATGGTCCATAATGGAACAGCTATCAGCCCACAGAAGCTCTGCATTCTATAAATCACATTTGACTAATGTGTCCATGAAGACCAAGCACAAACACTATATGTGCTAGGTAAGGAAGAGATTTTTGGGTTAGCTGTGGGGCATGTGAAAACAATGCCTGCACATCTGATTGTTTCCTGATTACAATCAATACAAGTATTTAAATCTAACATGTAGCAATTCCTATGCATGTTTGTCTATGTACTGACTAAGAAAGAAATGAAATGAACTATGGTAAAATGCAAAAGAATTCGTTATATGTAGGCCTGCTAAAGAAGGGATACTGATTTTTAACCCCTTTAATGTAAGATATAACGAAAGGAAACAGATATTTTGAAAATGTGGCACAGTTCGAATACTTGGGAACGATGATAACAAATCAAAACCTGATTCAGGAGGATATTAAGAGGAGATTGAACTCGGGTAATGCTTGCTACCATTCAGTCCAGAACCTTCTGTCGTCTCGTCTGGCGTCCAAAAACGAGGGATGAAGTGACAGGAGGTCGGAGAAAACTGCATAATGAGGGGCTTCATAACTTGTATACTTCTCCAAGTACAATTAGAATGAACAAGTCAAGGAGGATGAGGTGGGCACGGCATGTAGCATGAATGGGGGAGATGAGGAATGCATATAGGATATTGGTGGGAAAGCCTGAAGGAAGGAGATCACTGGTAAGACCAAGGCATAGGTGGGTGATCAATATTAAAATGGATCTTAGAGAGATAGGATGGGATGGTATGGATTGGATTGATATGGTTCAGGATACGGACCAGTGGAGGGCTCTTGTGAATACAGTAATGAACCTTCAGGTTCCATAAAATGCTGGGAAATTCTTGAGTAGCTGCAGATTTGGCTTCTCCTCAAGAAGGGCTCAGCTCCATAAGTAAGTAAGTAAGTAAGTTAACATACCAACAGATAGTAAAATATGGAACTTCTGTATTTTGATCTTTAAATGGAGAACCTCATGGTATAGGTTTAAGGCACTGAAATGCATTAACAAAACACCTTTATGAGTCACAAACACTTACAGTCAAAATCATACAGTGGTTTTCTTTTACAGCTCCACAGCACCCAAAGAACGAAACAATGAGCACAATAGCACCAACTGCAATGAGTAAAGCCGGTGCTGAGAAGAATTTGTCATCCAGAATGAAGCTGTAGGTGAGATAAACACCCTGAATTACTGCTCCCACAATGAGGATTGCAATACCTGTGACCTGAAACAGAATTATGATGAATTACAAGAGACATAAATTAAACAATATCATAATTAGTACTCATCTAATATTGTTAAAATGCTTAAATCACAAGTTAAAGGTTTCATTCAGGAATTTTTTTACTTATGGTTTATTAATGAATCAACTGGCAGCTCAGGCTATACTTCCAAAAAGTAGGGCCATTAGTGAATAATGACTTGGAAACTATGTAGAAGGAAGAAGTTATGGCCCAGTCTGAGGTACTAGCTTGGTATTTATCCAGAGGAACTTAACTATGAAAAACCTCTGTTAGGACAATCAGTGCCCCAATTGAGATTTGAACCAGTCACCTTCTGAATATGGGTCAGAGGCATTACTGTTCGAACCAATTTGTTTGGTAACATTCAGGGTGAAAAGTGCATATAAAATTGTGATAGGAGAACCTCAAAAGAAGAAAATATACACGCCTAAGTCTACATGGGAAGAAAATATTAAAATTAATTTTACAGCTCTGATGTGAACTTCTTGCAATTTGATGGTTTATGCAAAAAGACTTCTTCTGTCACCTTTAAAAAATTCTGGCTGTCCATTGTGGTTTTCCGCATGTCATGTAAATTCAGCAAAACTAACGCTGATGTTTACAGTCCCTCCCACCACCACCACCACCACCACCACAAAGCAGCTAACAGAATACATAATGTGGTGCTCTAATCTGCCCACTCATTCACCTGGTTCATCTCAAAAACTACTCAGTGGATTGCAACAATATCTGATTTGGGGATAAACTGACTATTGATGGTCAAACTGAATTGTGGTTTATATTAATTTCTAACCCCTATTTGAAATAAGCTTAGAACACACTTTTGTTAATTTTCTCAAAAATGGCTTAAGGAATCACATGAAGAAATACAGATCTTGAGAACATTCAATTTTTATTCCAAACACTTTTTCACATAGTGAATACTACTTAATGAAATACAAGAACAGATAATGACAGTTGTGCAGTGTGAACTCCGAAGTACAATTAGATTCATATCTTCAGTAAATGCCGAATTCCAATTAATTGTTCATTTTCAGGGTTCATGTCAGACCCCAGCTATGTACAGTGGTAATAATTTTATGCATCTCTCACGTCATTACTACTGATTGCATGAAACTGTAAAGTATGATAAGAGATCTGAAATTATCACAACTAGAAAGTATGATGTTTGGGTGGCTTCTCATGTCTTGATATTCATATGAAATTTCATAAAAATTGGTCTACTGGTTCTGAAGTTGAAATCTGGGGCTGACATGAACTGACGCATGCATACAGCAACATGACCTCATGAATTTTCCTTCCTTAAGGAAAGAAAGTGGAAGAAAAGGATATAAAAACAATGTAGAAGTTCTATGGGGCTCATAGTACTTAGCGACATCTTGTTTGTATTTCAGAGAATCATAAATTTAAAACCATGAACACAGGTGGAAAAATAAATCAAGTGAAGAACGATATGGTTTCAGGGATAATACATCAACAATTTATTTTTCATAGGTAACTGAAAAAATTAAATTTTGGCAAAGACATATATTTTGTTTGAATGACATTGAACAGGAATTTGATAACATAAAAACAGCCAAGAAAGTTGGAAGGAAAAGAAAACATTTTCAAAGGACTAATGGAGAGAATAAGGTGAAAACAGACAGCATGGTTACAGATGGCAAAATCTGAGTGGTTTCAGAATTTTAGAAGAGTAGACAGGGAAGTATTTTAATCCATATAATGTGCAACATGATATTGGATATGGTAATATGAAAAACAACAGAAAGGTAAGATGGTGAAAAAGGCTGGCAAACGCTCTGGTATTTACAGACATTGTTTGTGGGGAAGGGAACAAGGGAACAAAAAAAAAAAAGAGAGAGAGAGAGACTCATAGGGTTTTAAGAATGTGTAAAGATTCTGGATTAAATGCCAGTTTGGATAAATGTACTGTCAGATTTCTGGATGACTATGGATGGTGTTTCGATTGGAGAATGGATTTATCGATCACTTATACTTTCATGATCAGAGCTACAAGCAATTATAGCACTATCACTGATCTACACACTTTACAAATCATTAGAGCACATGCTAAGTCTTCTCAGTCTGCTTTCACTAGCTGTTGCTTGCTAACAGCTCTCAACAATGGAGATGCTTCAGCTTCACGCGCTGAGGGCCTACCTTCACAGCCTCCCATATAGAACTCAACTGAACTCATTGCTTCAATTGTCCTGGTTATAACCTCTCAGCACAAACCACATTATATTTGGCAAAGAATACAAATCATGAAGCTCTCCGTTATGCGACTTTCTCTAACCTCCTATTATTTCATCCTTCTTCAATCCAAATACAGCACCCTGTTCTTGCCCTTCCTTTAACATGAGCGCCCAAATTTCACCCCCATACAAAACCACAGGCAAATTATAGTTTTGTATATTTTAATCTGTTATGCTTGGACAGGAGACTAAAAGACAAAAGGTTCTGGACTGAATGGTGCACGCATTACCTGAATTAAATCTGTGCTTATCTCATGAATCAAATTTGATCTGCTACTGTCATTTCCAAACATCTGAATTTAGTCAAATACATAATGAACACATTATTGTAAAATACCTGCCTCCTGACTGAATCATCAACTTTAACTCTATGAACAGCTGATGTACCGCCTCACTGTATTCTCATTTTTTGCCTGGTATCTGACAAATTGAACAAATCTGACCAGTACTTCATCTGTTATGTTGAAACTCACCCTGATAATCTCTAATAGTTTCATCGACATATGGACTTAACCTTGAGAGAAAGATATTGGATAAAATTTTGTATGATGGTAACAGTGATATGCTTCATTAATTACTACAGTCACTTTCATTACCCTTCATGTAAATTGCTACAGTAATAGACTACTTCCACTGATCTGACAATTCTTGCTTATTCCAAATCGAATTAATTGGTTTATGGACCTCAGACTATAATGTTTCATCTCCTGCTTGATTCAGTTCTGCCTGAATTTCATCACTGTCTGGCAAATTATACTTTTTCAAATTTGAAATAGCAATTTCAACCTCAAAAGGACTAGGATCAGGTACTAACGGCTCAGCTGTATGTAATTCTGTCTGCCTAATATCACTGACCCTATGCACAATCAATACCTGAGAAAAGTTCTCCCACCTGTTCAAAACGTTGTGGGAATCTGCAAACAGATCACAGTTCTCATCATTTAACAAAGTTAGTTCCAGGTTGTTAACCCTTCTTAAATTTATAGATCTCCAATCCAATCCGATTGGATTGGATAATTGGATTGGTCATGTTTTACGCAGAAACTGCCTTCTAAAAGAAGCTATCGAAGGAAAGATAGATGGGCGGATAGAAGTGACAAGAAGACGAGGAAGAAGACGTAAGAAGATGCTGGATGACCTTGGGGAGAGAAGAGGATACTGTCATTTGAAGGAGAAAGCTCTAGATCGCATTAAGTGGAGGAATTGTTTTGAAAGAGATTGTGGACCTGTCGTCTTGACAGATTACTGATGATGATGATGATGATAGATCTCCAATGTTCTTGCTTTCACTGTGCGTTGCAAGCTCATTAATTTTGTCTTTCAGATATTCCCTCTCTTTATTCCTAAAATTCCTGTTGGCGTCATGTCTTATATTGTTCAGATTACCCCCATTTATTTCACTTGGCTCCTGTAACCACTGCAATTTGCCCTGTTTCCTCTTATCAAATGATTTTGAGCATCTCTTGTCAAACCATTATTTATAATGCTTCAGTTCGTAATGGCCTCCACTCTCTTTGGATGAATTTTTTTTATTCTTTCTAACAGTTTGCCAGGCTCTGCTAGTATCCATATCATCATCTGAGTTTTCCAAAGCTGCAAATCTGTTTGACATTCTACTTTGATAGTGTCCTCTACTTTCTACCTTGTGTAATTTCTTGAGATTGAATTGCTCTGTATCAAGATTTTGCGTTGCTCGTTTATTTACTGCCAGCCTCTCCCTAACTTTTGCCACCACACGACAGTGATGGGTATTACAGACCACTCTCATGAAAGACCAGACATCAAGCACACTTGAATTCTGTCTATCAAAATGTGGTTCATCTAACTGTATGTCATCCCAAAAGATAATACTCTTTATAGTCTCTGCTTCGGGATCCTCAAATCCAACAAATTTTATCTTCGGTTTTGGTATTAAGGACTGTCATCTCAGACAGAGGAAAAAAAAATTGTTCTTCTTCATTGTCTCGAATTCTTCTTTGGGCTGTTTAGCAACTAAACTTCTCCATGGAGAAACTTGGTTATGAGTCACATCAGAACCGTGAGAAGTTAAGATTCACTGGCGACACTGAGGCCCACGACAGCCCAAACAAATTTAAGTTAAATCACTGTCTCATTTGTATTCGGTCTTAAATGACAGAATGGCTGAACTATTTTGTGCGGCGAGCATAGTAAGGTAAAAGGTAAAGCTATCCCTGTAACAGCCAGTGAGGGCCCATGGGGTTGTGAGACGTCAAAGGTCCCACATTTTCTACACAATCGGCTCATAGATGGCAGTGAGGTTGTCAGCCTAAAACATCTGTACCCCTTTACCCCCCCATGACGATTCCTCGTACTCATTTCTGTTAGAGGCTGAGTCGACCACAGGGCCATGGTGCGGCTGGAAGGATTAGGTCACCTGAAAAATGCAGTGACTCCATCGGGATTAGCATGGTGAGACTTCAAATTCAGGAGACAAAAAGAAACTAAAAATTTCAAAAGGCATCCTAATTGCGCCTGCTTAAAATAATGCATCAATTCTAGTCATGATACCAAAAAATTTCCATGACCGCAGTTAATTTCCATTTTACTGAGTACCCACATAAAGGAAAAGCGCCCCTGTACATAAGGATCGTGTCATGCAGGCTTATATGGGGGGTAAACGTACAGTTCCAAGCATTCGGCATCTGATGCTTAAGCTTCATGCTCCTGGCATATTTTCCGGGGAAAAGGACTCTGGTACCCGTCAT